GATAATGGGTTATTTGAAAAAGTACTTAAAAAGAGTTTATAATACGTGTATTTTACAATGCCATAGAATTTTTATAGCTACCATTACATATTGCTTAGCGAATTATCCATTGGTAATCGGTTTTTTATTAACAAGTAGATGGGGTACCCGGCTTCGCTCAGGGAGTTGATATGAAATTGTGTGGTAGTTAAAATAAAAGGATAAACTTTCAAATATAAGAACTAAATACGTAGCCCCACGCATGGAGGAAAGAATTCGAATAGTCTACAATGTTCTAGAACATTCCACAACATTCGAATGTGTTCTGGAACGTTCCAAATTGATCTGGGACATTACTGACCATTTGCTAACGTTACAACTCGCGACGGATCTTGCTTCACAAACCCCTACCCATAAAAAAAAGCTTCCAATAGCCCACAATGTTCCAGAATATTCTACAACATATGAGAATGTTCTGGAATGATTCAAATCCAAACTAGAAGAAGAAATGCATAGAACATAGGATTTTACACTACAGGTTTTGGAAATGATACTAGGATTTGGTTTGCACTTGCATTTGTTTAATAAAATAGCAAATAACAAGGATATTTAAACAAAACGTAGATATTTCTATCTTGAAAGCATCGCGGTGGAATTTGCTTTACATTAAGAGAAAGGATCTATATAGAAAACTGCAGCAAAAAAGCTTCTTTAATCAGTCAAAATACATTTCCAGTTAAAAGTCTACGTCAAACATAGGGTTCGAGTATTGCCTTCCTACACGACTATCGCTTTTTTCCCGCTTTCCTCTTATTTGTCTAACAAAGAAAGTATTTTAAAAGGCTTTCTCATCGTTCAATTTTTATAAGCACCTCAATTTGCTTCTTCGAAAACTTTCGAAGGAAAACACAAAAGACTTGAAAGGAAGTTTTTCTTTTACGTCACGAAAAACTTGACTTGGAGAAAAAATAAAGAGCTGTCAAACAGTACACCACGTATGTAAATGACCACTAGACTTTCAATTTAAAGCGTTTTTTATTTTCACGATTTGGAGATAGAGTCTGAAGATTGCCTTCCGCCCTGTCCTCCGGATTTTTAATGCAGTAGTACAGGTCGAAAGGATTGCCTTTCCATTAGCATTATGAGCTAGCATAAAAGGGAAAACATAAAACAAACGATTATAAACATAATAATATTAAGTAGCTTTTAATTATGAACTTTTAAAATGATTGTAGTTGAAATATTTGGTGAATCTACATGCAGGATAAGAGTTTCATTTCTGATTTTCTGAATGTCCTTTTCGTGCCTGATACAAGGAATATTTACGACTATTTGCATTCAAAGCGTATCAAAAAAGAGGAGCGTAACGTACGTATTCCTTTTATGAAAGATCAAAGAGTCCTTCAATCAAACATTTGAGTAATTGGTAGTGAAACAGCCAAAAGTACACGAGAGAGGGATGTGGACGCTGAATAAGTCTTGAAATTGTAATTAATTTTCTTTGCGGCCAGGTTTCGGCTTAATGAATTTTGCACGTAATAAACTTGCACATTCACGTCACGTTAGTTTACACGAATTAATTAAAATTGCAACCTGGAAACTTTAAATTGTTTCCGTAGTATAATTTAGTTTTTATGCAAGTGACTGACTATGAGTAAAAGCTCAAGCTTAAAGCTTAAGTTGGTTCAATAATACTTGGATATTTAGATCGTCAATTATAGAAAATATTGAATGTGAACAAAATAGAAACAATAATTCAATTTATTATACCTAGATGGCGGTATTTTTAACTATTATTTTTG